GCAGGACCGACGGCTTTACGTGCTCTCCGAGGCACGGGGGTGAAACACCGCCAACTTCCCAACTCCGGGCTGTTACTGAGACTTACTATACAGGAAGACTCAATAACTAAACTTGGCCCGACCCGGGACTCGAACCCAGGACCTCCGGGTGTGCAGCCGTACATGCTAGCCACTACACCACCGAGGCAGTTAGTAGTTTTATTATATGTATAGAGTAAACGTTTTTATCGGCCAAAATTTCATAAACAAGTTTTTTATAGCAATTATATACGAGTAATAATTATTAAATATATTTTAATTACAAATAATTTTGGAATTTACCTATTAATCCAAACTAATATTATAAATGTGAAAGTGTGTTTGTTTGTTTATTATCCTACTTCGAAAATTTTTGAGAGCGGAATTGTGTGGAGACAGTTGGGGGGGCTGGGGATTTAGGCTACTTTTTAAGTCGGGAAATTATTTCATTCCCACGGAAAAACACGTTATAATACAACCCAAAAATTATTTATGTTATTTATGATCAAAATTACTTGAAACTTGGTATTAATGCTCTTCAATACAATTAAATAAATACATCCTATTCATGATGAAAGTTTGTAGGTATGAAACCTACCTTTTTAGAGTTTTTTTTTTGTATTTTTAGCGCAAGCGAAGGCGTGGGTTCTGCTAGTTACATATAGTGGTTATAATATAATACTGTAGGTAAATTCCAAAGATATAATATGATTTACATATATTTTTCTTATCGATAAAAATAAAGCATATGGAAATTTTAATTGCATATAATATATATCTTTTAAGATTAATTTGGAAGACCACAGTTATAGGTTATCATATATTATTTAAATTTTATAGCATAAAAGATATTATTATTACCCATAAACATATATAAATAAATAATAAAGTTTGTATGTGTGTTGTATTTGTGGATACTTACTAAAAATAACCTGATTATCATTGTTGTTGTTTTTGTTTTAGCGATACGCCCAAATATTTTCCTTACCAAATTAGCATAGGTATTATATCTGTAACTGGATAAAAATATAATGTTTTAGGTATTTTTTAGAAAAAAAAACGTAAATATAGTTAATCTCATAGTTCTCTATACTATCATGAAAAAAACTTGGTTTCTATTACATATATGTAAATAAATGTATGTACATATATAGCACAGAACAAAATATATTGGACGTGTGTACTGTATAATGCGGTGTGTATTTAGACCCTGAGAGAAGGAAGGACGGGACAAAGCCTGTTATAGTATGCACTTCCATGCAACAAGAGAGCACTGGATTGAATTATTTTTTCATATAGTTTATTTACAACTTTTAATCCCGATCTAAGTGGTTTCCCTTGAGATGTTAGTATATACAAAAAGGAACGAAGAGATGCTAATAGGCATGAACAGTAACGGATCCTTATTATTAATTATTAAAAAATATCTTAATTTAACTCGACCCGGTTGGATATCTTTCATTAAATTTTAAACCATACGAACACTTCAAAAGAGACCTTTTTCAGACTTATCGTGACATTTTCGTGCCTGTGGCAAGAACAGACCATAAATAAATCTTCATATAACCTGATATTTTGATCTAATTTGATATTTAACATTTTACTGAAATACAAAGAGTCAAAATATTAACTAAAAATTATACAAAAATGTTGGAATGATTTTGTTATTTTGGAAAAGAGGAGACCAATCCCCACACAAACTCGGGCCCGTCGTGTATGGGGTTGTAAATTAGCTATAAATTAATACATTTAGATTTTTTCTAGAGCCCAATTTTCACGGGTCCCAGTAATGGCCAAGTTAGTAACGTCGAGTTTTTGTCGACGTGCTTTTTAATTTTATTGGACTACGCTCTCCAAGCGCGTGTCTTGTATGTCTGACGATTATAATAAGTGTTCTTCTTGTTAGAAGATCAAATGTATCTAATCGAGTATATTCTAAATTGTAATCTTACGTATGAATCTGGACTAGTTTTTTTGTTTAGTGGTTAAGGGCCAAAAATATTGCATTCAATTAAAACCTGATTAATAGAATTATTTCTTCTTTTAATGAGTTAATATAAAAATAATTATATTAAGAGATCGTCCTGCCACCAAAACTTTTTACTAAACAAATTCCGTTCGTGAAAACGTGTCCAAATGTTGAAGTAATTTCAGCATTATAACAATAGGGAAATAAAAATGCTATAAAAAAGTTGCGGAGGAAACAAAAGAAGATGCTAATGCCAATTTCTTGTTTCGTGAGTCTTTACAATATTGTGACACTAAGCAAATTACTGCCATGTTTAATTAACTTATATTTCTTTTTCCTAATAATAATGCCTAATATTTATATAATAATAATCAATCATGTGATGGGAAAAACCAACAAACACTATCAACGGCATAAAATACTCGTAAGTAATGGCCAGTACCACTCTAGAGCTGAAAAAATGGCAAATAATTCTCTAGAGCTGAAAAACCTAGAGCCTAATACTGGTGTATTAGTCAACGATGTATTATGACTTCACCCTAACCAATATCTAATCTTCCTTAGAATATCGAACTACAAATCCCCCCTCTTCCTCTCCACTCCCCCCTCCTCTCCACTCCCCCCCCCCTCAACGTGCACGCACCGTATTATGGTAGGGGGGGGGGCTCATTGGCGTCCGATAATCTAGCTGGGCGCGAAGCCAAGAAACGTACTAGGAGGCGGCCCACCCCGGTGGGCGGTGTGCCATGTGGGTTGCTTCTGGTACTTCTCTGATAACAGAGTGGACCGTTGGAACAACCCCACGGCTGTTGTACTCTGCTTCAGCCAGCCTGCCTTCAAAGTGTCGTGGTTAAGTGCGTAAGTGATCCTCCAACTAAAATAAAACGGGAGAGGATCTGTTGGGTTTTAGTGAGTAGTACTGGCGTTTCTAGCCGATGAGTCTCACATATAGGTGGTATGCGTAAATGCATTTAATGTAAGGTACTTAGAAATGTCCCTCTGCGAAGCGAAGGTAAATCATTAGTAGCAATTAAAGGTGTTTCAATCTAGTAGGTATATAAATTAATTATATAATTTCCAGTGTCAATACTAAACCGTCTTCGTAATAGGTCAAACGTTGAGTAGATTAAGCAGTCACTCAGTAAAAGAATTATAAGTAAGGCTTCGTGGCGCGCGCAATTAAATACGGCTTCCAACATTTCCACTGGCAAATGAAAAGTATATCTCCCAAACCATTTTATGGTATAAAGTGAAAGCCTATTAAGTTCTTGCAACTAGACAAAATTGCTCACAACTTAGTTAACGAAAGGAATATTTTTTTACTTATATCATACAATCCTTTTCCCGCGGCTCCGTCAGCGTAGTACAATAACGTATTACTATATCTTTATTTATAAACTATACACGTTTACGTAGATACGTTTAAAAGGTTAATAAATTCTGAAAACTTTAGATTTGGCCTCTGTTCGTGTAACAATGACTATTACAATAAAATTTTCCAAAAAATATTTGTGTGTAATAATATAATAATAATGTACAGATTCAACTCAGAATTTTATTATATGCAAAGATTAATTAATTTAATAAGGCTTATGTGTCACTCTGATGTATGCTATAATCAGACTAAAGAATTATATAACCCGCCAAAAAATGTCAGCTTCAAAAATGTATGATTACGTGATTTGCTATTTATCCAACTATGCTCGATTTTGCCATACAGACTGTTTACTTTCTTTAAAGAATAAGGGAAATTTTCTATAAAATATGAATAATAAGACTTATTAACGTATCACAGTAATGAGTAATCTATTCATATTTGTACACTATTTTCAAACAGTACTATTTGTTTTTATGTTTAGTTCTAGTCTATTTATTCCATATTCTGAAAAACTGTATTACTGTAAAGTTTTATCAAACTTTCATTTTTATTATTAGTTGGATTTATATTATTAGTAGGATTAGTTTTTACCCGTGGCTCCTCTTACATTAAGAAATATCGAATCGAAATTGTCGGAGGGCTGAGGAGTGACATAGATATATCCAAAATCCATATGGACCAGAGTAAAGCGAGGGTGCATTACTAGTTTATAAAGTTGGTGTGGCTATAAGAATAATGAAATACCATCGCTTCGCTCAGAAATGTGCTTATGTAAAATTTTACAACTGACGAGTATCCAATGGAAATTACTTTATGAACCAGGTTTAAAGTAACCTAAGTCTTATTACTACCTAAGTATATCGGCTTGCATTTTCTCTATTAAAAAGCAAGCCACACCTACACTTTCACGTTTATATTATTACTAGCAGAACCCACGGTTTTGCTCGCGCTAAAACTACGAAAAATTAAAAAGGTAGTTTCATAAAAATTTTCATCCCCTATTTTACACCCTTATACGATGAATTTTGAAGAATGCTAGAAATACGTACTTATTTAATTTTATTGAAGAGCAATAATGCCAAGTTTCAAGAATTCTGATCTGAAATATTTTTTGGATTGTATTATAAAGTGTATTCCCGTGGGAATTAGATAATCTTCCGCGGTAAAAGTAGCCTATGTCACTCTCCAGATCTACAACTATCTTCACACAAAAAATTACGCCACTGCGTCACTCTGTTTCGACGTGAAAAAAGGACAAACAAACACACTTTCACATTTATAATATTAAAGTATGGATTAGCAACTTACCCTTCCTTCGGGTGCCTCTAGGTATTTTATTGCTATACATTTTATTGCTTTATTTCAAACCGTTTAGGCAGCGAACGCCGATAAAACTATTTAACTAGCAGTTTATTTTACGACATCAATTAAAATTATTACGATTTTTGACAATAAACACATTTTTATCGCAATGAAAAATAGTTTATAACACAAGGCGATAATGTAGCGTCCTATCAGTGAAAGAATTTTCAATATCTACCTTCTTTATCATGGTATATATAGATTGAAATTATAACTTTAAAAGTGGATTGTGCTAATCAAAGATATGTAGTAGCCTATACCGTGCGGTTACAGGACGCGGTGTCGCTAGGCGGTGGCGTCATCGGCGCTCTGCATATCCCGGAGAAGTGGTTCCCGGGCGCGGTGGACCGCTGCCTCAACTCACACAACATCATGCACGTCTTAGTAGTGCTTGCTGTGTACTCGATGCATCAGGTAATTCAATTAGTCAATAAAATATCTATATTTTTTGTATTAAATATTGTCTACGTATTGAGAGCTAAAGGCTTTTATAAGATTTTCAAAATGGGGTTTTATATTTACAATTTTTTAGTTTATTTTGCACTTTATTACATCACAAAGACGTAAAAAACATAAAAGCGTGATACAGGTTATAATATATTAATTAATGGAGTAAAAGTATTAAGTTATCTATAATTGATGTTCACTCTCTACTACGCAACCTCTATGATCTACCGGTTATTGTGCCGTTTTGTTTGTATTTTTTTACATTTTATATGTTTTCTATATTAATAATGACTACATAAAGCATTTATAGCACATTAAATCAGATTTTCAACCACAATATAGTTATATAATATATATTATATATTATTGTATATATTATAATATAATATTATATATATTATATAATATTTAGTTCTCACATGCCATCTTATTATTTAATTTATAAATGTGGTTTATACAGTCTCGTTATTTATTTTTGTCCTGTTTTTTAGGTGACGACACAAGACCTAGCATGGATGTCACGGGTAGACTGCCGCGCGCCCTTGCGTCAGCTCTGACGCAGCCTGCACGCCTAATCAGGACACGAACCTTTACATTGTCTGCGTTATATTTTAATTTTGTAAACAACCTAACGAAATACTCACATAAAATTATTAGTACATTGTGATAATTGTCCTCACATCGCATATGGCAACTGTCTAATTAAAAATTCAATAAATTGCCTACCATTATCGTAGAATATATTTAATGATATAGAATAGATGTGTATTTACACTTCTAACATTTATAAGTTAGTCAATTCAACTTGGAGTAGCTCATTTCTGTAATTGAAAAGCAATAAATATTAAATATTATATGTATACCGGAATAATACAAGATATCACAACACAAATTACTTACAGCGTTGAAAATCCTGAAACAATAAAATGTTCTTTGGAAAATACTCTCGCACTTTTGCAGATGCTTCCCCAAAATCTAGTGTTTATAAAATGCATAGACAGTTTTTAGACATTATTATAACACAACAGGTAGAGGACAATATAATGGCCTATATTGCCTTATAGTAACACAAACTCGTGATAAATATTTAATGTTTCGGACTATTAAAGATGCCACAAGTGAATAGAAATTTGTTATTAATAGCTGTAATAAAAGTAGAGTTAAGATAACAAGTACAATTGATATTTTACACAACACTGTCTGAAACCTTCCGTAGGCTTTGTAATTAGTTATGGTAAAAGTTTTTCAAAATTGGCTCTCGTTGAAGTAGGTTAAGGCTGAATATTTTGTAGATACTTGGCATGTAGAATCGTTTGAATGAGAATTCCCTGTAGCTATTATAATACTCTAAAACATTTGACAATATAAAATGGTGTTTAGACACACCCTTAGGTCACTTACGTACACGGCGTATTTCGTAGATAAATTATAATTTAATGGGATTGTTTTTAATTAAACTTTTGAAGTTAAACATTGAAAAACGTACAGTAGTTGGTATAATCGCCGAATACCCTAGTGTAAGACCATAAAGCAACTGCGCGCTAGAGTAGATACTTATAGGTGTAGTGCACCTATTTAGAAATAACAACTTTTACCATTGATTATATTATAACAAATACATATTGTAATTAGTTACCTTTCAAGTATTCATAAAAATTGAGGGAATAACACTAAGACGCGTAATTTTCTCATTCTGATTTACTATTTCTCATGAAATTTTAAACTTTTACCATTGAATAAGAATTTTGACGCATAAAGATATTTTGTTTTCCTTAGTTTGGAGACTGAATTATATGCATATGAGTTTTCATATTAAGTCTATTTTTATCGGAAAATGTATATTAAAAACTAAAATCTACGTATGCATATTTTTGCTATATTTTCAATATTTAATCTGTCAATAAATGTCACGAAAAAGCTTACTAAAATTACTAAAATCGTAGGCTTAGACTTTAACAGATTGAATGAACCTCTTTAACTTATTAAAATATGTCTTGTGTTTGTAAACTTTTGATATTTTAATCCAATGGTTAATAATTAACAGGTAATTTTAAAATAAATTGCTAAAATATATTAACTTAATCGTTTAATACTGCTCATTTCATGCATATAATCCGGACTCTCCTTACTGAGCAATGTTAGTGATAAAAATTTCATCCATTGTTAGCTTTGTAGGATCGCAAGTTTTTCCAAAAAATTATGCTTTATCTTCGTCATAATTAATCTTTATAAAAGCCGCTACACATTAGTGTAACATTTTACAAACAGAATGTACATGAATAAGGAAATTAAGAAATTTTCATATGGTAGAGTGACCAGTCACTAGCCAGTACTGGTGTCTACGCCGTAGATCGCGAGTTTGTTTTCTTTTTAGGATAAATATTTATATAAATCAGATAAGTATTTTTAGTGGTCACAAATCGAATGATCCAATAACTTGAGGGTGTCCGTTAAATAAAAAATGTTATTTACTTGTAACCTCAATGAAAATTCAGTAGTTTCATTGTTAAATTAATGACCATTATGAATACTTATTTTTTAATGAGTGGTGGCTTAGAGCTGTAATATTTTGATAGGCCTAATTTTTAAATATATAGTAAATTGAACATTAATAAAAATAAGTTTGAGATTAATTTTACACTTTATATCGCTTAATAAAGATCGAATATTTCTGAAAATATATATGTACGTTACTGTAAATACAACAAAGAGTAAAATTGAGAGTACTACCGCGGTTTAACGTTTATTATCAGTAACCATCTATCTGATAGTAAAACGTTTTTCTAAATTTCTTAACTTCTCTATCTCAAATATTCGATTCGCTTGGTTAAAAAAATTTCAAAATCTTAAATACGCATCTATCAAATTTCCCCTTAGCACGATCTTTAGTAATTAAGAAAAATTATCAACGTAGCAAAATATTTAGTGTAGTTATTACGAGCAATAATTACTAGACAATTGTTAAGAAATTTGACAAAAGTAGAGGCAATATTCGATTCGCTTGAATTGTACGATGCATTTATGCCAATACTTGGGTCAAAATTCTCTTATGTGAATTATTATTTAGTAGTATTAGATTTCAAGGTATTTTAATATGAGTTATTACAAAGGATACACTTCTCAAAGGGCAAAGCCCGTACCTGCCAAAACACGTATTTTGCCATTTATATTTTTGGACAACTTTCCCATCAAGTATTTACAATTACAACAAAATTTATTTTTCTTCGTTATACATAAACAATGTCAATATTTACAAATATAAAATATATAATTTTAAATTAGTCGATAGAATTAGTTTGTCAAGTGAATGTAACTGTACGACAGTTGGTAATGATATATAATTTGTTCCTTTAATACTTACTTATATCGAAACAACAAAAATCGAACGAAACGAACAAAAAAAACCTAGTAAAAATGTATCAAATGGAGATTTACCATGCCATCCATGTAGCGAATCGCAAAAATAGCTGTAGCTGTTTTCAGACTCTGATTCAGCGAGACACTGCTGATTACAGATTTAAAATCTCAAAGGTGCGTGCGACCTTAGTATTACGATTATCTTGTAACAGTCAACACCACCATCGACATGTACAGGAAGCCATATATATTTTAAAAAAATGTAAGAGTAAATAAAAACATTAATGTATATATTTATATATCACACACTATATAAAATAATAATTATCATAATACTATTTAATTTAATAAGTTGATATCAATATGAAAAAAACCATACCATTAGAAACAGATATTTATTTGTATTAATTATTCAACTTACACAAAATTAATCTAATCATTAATTCATTCATTCTGCTTTAAAAAAATATCTTGCACGGAAGAACCGAGGTACCTAAAGTCCAAGCAGATTGGTAAGGGTATTCCTGCAAGGGTTATAGGCACTTCTAGACTAGAGAGACTGCAAAATTTTATTTTAGGAATATGATTAGGCATACCTATTGCAAAAAAATTAAATTTATGCTCATTTCGCTCCCGGTGTTGATGAAGCATCATTTTCCTGTTTTGTTGTTACCGCAAAAACGTCTAAATAAATAAAATGTATGTGAAAATAAGTAGGTAATTAAACAATTGAGACACCATCTTAAAAATTAATAGTAATTCGAAAAATAGCTTATACCAGATATAAGATATATTAACAGACTGAATTGAAAATTATTATTGATTTGCTAATTAAAGTAAGCAAAAGCAGAATGCAGCTAATATTATAAATACGCCTTGCTTCTATATTCGTACCTAAGGTGAGAATGGACAGGTGACTAACTGTTGTTTGTCAGTGCTACGAGAAATCTACCTATACTTACATATAATAAAAGTGTAACGACTCGCTGTTTGTACATGGAAGATATTTGAGAAAAAACTGTCATTCTTTATTAACTCAATAGAATCCAAAACAAGGATTTTTAGAATTCTTGTCTAATTGCCTGTTTGTCGGTTTGTCTGTTTGTCTGTTTGTCTGTGCGTTTATGCGCACTAATCTCAGATTTGTTTTATTTCAATCTGTTCATAAATAAAAAAAATGTCAATTTAATGAATCATCTACGGATGAACCCGCGCAAAGCGAGGGTGAGTCGCGGGTATAAGAATATGCACGCAATACACATAAAGATAATTGCATAATTGCAATAAATTGATAATATCATAGATGTTTCTATATTTGAGTCATTATTATATTTGTATCCTGTTTGTTATTTTTTTATTATTTGTATATTGTATAATAATATTGTACGTATGGTATTGTATGTACATATTGTATGTATTGTATTATGGTAAAATTAAATTTAAACTAATGTTAATTTTTATTTATTCCCTTAAAGGGAAATAAGAAAGGAAATTGATTTCAAAATTTTTATTCCCCAAAAACACCCGAGCAATTTTGCTTTTAATCTCTCCGTACAAATAATCACGACTTTGTATATTTAATGAAGTCCTCTAAACAAACACTAACTAAAAATGTTGAGTGATATTAAAAAGCAATATACCAGTATTTGTATATTTTAATATAGAACATAATATAGAAATGCGGTCGATTATATCTGTATGAGAGGAAGTATCAGAACGTTTTGTTGGGATTATATAAATAAAAATTGAACTTCATTGTAGACGTTGATGAGAGTATTAAAGTTTATTTCAATTTATTAGAAATTGTTTTATTTACCCTTTAATAAGTTATTTTAGAGAGACAGTTTCCTTTTAGTATATTAAGTTTATCAAACTTATGTTAAATGAAGAAAAACTTTCATATATAGATAAATCGTGAGATCCATTGTCGAGTACAACCGCTGGTGAAAAAACAAGCTAGCGGGCAAAAGGTATAAAAGTCACTACACCTTTTTTTATGTCTCTGAGAAAACCCATGATGCAGTCCGGCAACGGTCAGGGGACTGCGAGACTTTTATTCACTAAAACTGAGCGCGGAACTCTATCGCACTACTATGGGGCATTGCTCGATGAGTTCATATAACAACTGCCTAAAGCGCATGGCATCTTTAGACTTCGGCTTGCAATTTATGCTTGAAAATGCGAAAAGTGCTTGATATAAATGATATAATCATTTTTTAGTTATTTATTTAGTTAATTTAATTGTTAAGTTTGATTTAATTATTGTTAAAGTTATTAGTCTTATTGAAGTGAAGCTTCTATAGAATCGTTATGACTTGAAACTCGATAAAATGGAAATAAAATGAAAATGCGACACTTAAAAGAGACAAACGCATAAATATATAGGATTAAGCCAGCGAGAGGACGAGGTTGAATACTTTGCCATGATAACCGTTGCTATTGTCTGACAAATATTATATAATATTAAGTTTCATTTCTACCATGTGTGAATTGCACACACACACACTTTTTTGTTATTTTGATGTATTCGTTTTTCAATAGAATAAGATATATATATATATATATATATATATATATATATATACTTGTGTTTTATTAGTAGTTTCAAGCATTTTTTAAACACTATTTTAATATTATATAGCATAAAATCTGGTATTGTCATTATAAATTTACAAATACTGAAAAAAAGTATTTAAAATTTCTTTGTTATTTAAAATGTTGTTTAAATAAAATGTGTTTTCCTTGTAAAGCAATATAAAAATAATTACAGCACTTAAATATACGGTACATAAATGTATGTGTATGTAAATCGATGTATTTCTCGCAATTATTTAGGTGTTATCGTTAGACACTCTTATGTGTTAAATGGCAATAATTAAATGTCTGATGAGTAATCTATGGGAAATATCCTTTCAATATAAATTATTATATACTATATACACATAAATAGCAAATATCCGTGATTTCAGAGTATTTTAATATGTTTGAGTACACGTAAGTATATTTAGAAAATGCTACCAGTGCACTGTGTAACACGTGGACTTGCTTGCCGCCCGCCCTAGCTTTTATTTTATTCGAATTTAATAATTCGTCTCAACGGCTTTCTTAAATAAGGAACAATTAACTAGTGAACTACTATGTCTAAATGTAAATACGTAAAATAATCGAGGATGCCCACTAATCTTATCTAACTTGATCCATATATCTTAATCATATACCTATAATAAAATTGTAACTAAGCCGAATCCTGTACATTAAATATTTTTTGGAAAATCTTATTGAAATAGACATTGTTATCGATACAGAGGCCGAATCTATAGTTTTTAGAATTATTGTATGTCTGTCTGTGACCGCATCAAGGAAAAACCACTGGAGGGATTTTGATGAAATTTGGTATGATGGTAGCTGGTTATCCGGGTCAACATATAGAATAGTTTTTACTGCGGGAAAATATCTCATTTCTGAGAAATCTATTTATACTGAACGTTAAAAAGTACCCAAGTTTGGACGAGCGTAGCGAGGGTGAGTCGCTTGTCTTAATATAAGTATAACTTTACAACATTATAATACCTACCTATTTTTGCAGTTACTGTACATACGTTGTTAGTCTACACATATTTTAAATTATTGATTCTATAAATGTTCCGGTGAAAAATTAATCAAAGACTACTCAATAACTTTAAACCAGTTAATACATATAGTATATTTAAGGCAGGCACGTTTCACATAAATATTAGAGTTTGTCTTTTTTGTTAAATTACAAAATTGAATTAAACACTGCACATATAAAATAAAATTGTAAAAAAAGTAAAAAATCCCACACAAAGTAAAATCCATTTGATGATCGACGTCTTATTACTGCGTCAAAGTCGAATAAAATATATTATCACTTTTGTATTAATTCCATTCATTCACAATACCACTAACCACTAACACGTAATAGAATTCCCTCTTTCGATTAGTAACAGGCAAATTGTAAAAAACTAATGAATGCTCTTAATTTTATTTATGACAATTTATACATCATACTAACATTATAAATGTGAAACTGTGTTTGTTTGTTCGTCCTCCTTTCACGTCAAAAAGGAGTCACGGATTGGCGTGATTTTTTATGTGGAGATAGTTGGAGGGCTGGAGAGTGACATAGGCAACTTTTTACCGCGGAAGATTATCTCATTCCCACGGGAAAACACGTTATAATACAACCAAAAAAATATTTATGATCAGAATTATGTACTTGAAACTTTGTATTAATGCTCTTTAATACAATTAAATAAATATGTGTTTAAGTATTTTTCGAAATTCATCGCATAAGGGGGTAAAATAGAGGATGAAAGTTTGTATGAAACCTACCTTTTTCGAGTTTTTTTGTAGTTTTAGCGCGAGCGAAGCCGCGGGTTCTTATAGTATTATATAAATTGAAGTAAAGTAATCTTCTATGATCATTTATACATTTACATTGGCATAACGTAATGTGTGTAATTATTCCGATTTTTAGTACATATTTTAGTACAAGAACTTATAAAATACCTTTTTTATAAAGAATATCTTTTTTCTACGGCTAAGTATAGCACATATCATCATAAAATAAAGACAAAATTAGTGTTAAAAATGTTTTTTTTTTTATTCATAAAAAGTCTACTTCGGAAATATAATTTAATAAAAGAAACGTCTGCTCAAGCGATATTGCAATACCCCATTAGCTGTGTTGGGTTATATGAGTTTCAAAAATTAAATAAATAAAGAAATAAATATGTTAGGACATTACCACACAGCACCATCTAGTTCCATGATAAGCTACATAGCTTGTGTAATGGATATCAGATAGTTAATACACATATATAACTTTAAATACTTACATATTATAAATAAATCTTCGATTTCGATTCGATAGATAAATCACGGCATATTAGTCCGTTTATAGTTGTAACTTTGACGTTCCCGCAACACTCATATTATAATTGCAACGAATCTTTAGTGAAATAAAGGTTTCTGGTGTCATCATATAACACGATCATAATCGAAGTATTGGATGTATGAAACTTACAACTCTGAACACAACTTTGCACGTATAGTCACTTAACACCTAGCAAAAGCCAAAGCATGATGCTAGTTTAAAAAAATATATATCTACCTTAAACAAACGAAGAGGCAGTGGTAGCCCAATGGTAATGTGCTCGCTTGAAAAACCAATTAAGCGAGTTCAAATCCCGGGTCTCGCCCCTCCGATCAACATGCTTATATTTACCTTATGATGAAGGAAAACATATTGAGGAAAATGATAAGAGCTGAATACAGTTTTACTTGTTCTTTTAACATATAATATAAATTCATCATATAAATATAATAATAGATTATTTGGAAATTCAAAACGGTATAAATTAAGCCTTATATGTATTTATTTATCCTATTGTTAATAATGTCCTCTTGGCCGAATTCGGCCACGGCGGCCCTTCCTCTCTCTCTCTCTCTCTCACACACTGAGACTACTAGATATGCAGGAGATCCAAAAGTGTACCACACAGTTGCACTTTCTATTCCTTTTCCTTTCAAAATCCGATGGGAAGACACGTTAAGCCGCAAAATCGACGGCTTTACGTGGTCTCCGAGGCGTTACTACTACTCAGAATATCTTAACAGTAACTAATCTAGGCCCGCCCATGGACTCGAACACACGACATCCGCCCGTACATAAGCCACGCAGACAGTTAAACTAAATCTTTGCCTCTAGCTAAGTAAAGAGTGGACTTTTCAACCGACTTCAGAAATGAAAAAGTTCTCAATTCGGCTGTATTTTTTGTTTATGTTTGTTACCTCAGAACTCCGTCATTTATTAAGCGATTTTGACAATTTTTGTTTTATTTGAAAGTATATACTTTCAGTTTGGTCCCAAATGGGACTTGGACTATGGGAAATCTTGAAAATAAATACCACCCCCAAGGGTGGCCAAATCGCTAATGAAATTTTAACCTACTTCTAATTGTCATATTGACTTGAAACTTTGCAAGTGTTTTATTGCCGTTGATTACATTGATTCGGTATCGTTGATTTGATCTGATCTGATGGTAAGGCCAGGAGGTGGATAGGGTCGGTCGGTGCCAGCCGATACAAATCAAGCACACTGACTTCGAAAAGATCTAATTATGTATATATAGTAAATGAAAACAACCAATCAGTTATTTTTTAATTTTTAACTGACTTCAAAAAGGAAAAGGTTCTCGCTTCGGTTGTATTTTTTAAATCGGTTTAGTTACAAGATACGCAATTACTTATATCGCTTTTAATTTTGCAACAACAAAATGACCCCAAAATTATTAGTAGGTAAGTATGAATTATAATCTTTTAAATATTTATTCTTATCAATAATTAAGTAATAAAAATAAAAAAGTATACCTATATTTTTTTATATAAAATAAATGAAGTATACATATGATAAGGAAACAACATATCGTACATATATAAAGACGAAGTTGACTCGAGTAAGGAAAAGTCATCATGAGTCAATCGATGAGAACGGACGCGTTAGTGGTATTCACGTTTGTGTTATTTACATTTGTTCGAGCGGGTGTACACAACATCGAGACGCTCCAAAGTAAGTTTATTAAACATAATATATAATATATCTTAAATATACAACGATTATATACTATGTATGACCGAGGGAGTTTGTTATTTTTAAAACCTAAATAATACTCTTTTAATTATTATAATTAGAATAAATATTGCAGGTAGGTCATAAATGAATATATTATATTATTGAAAAAGCAATTTTCTATAATATAATATGTTCATTTACTATCAATATAAGAAAACGATTCTTTAGACAGGTACCTACTTATAAAAATATTAGTAAAATTGTTAAATTTGAATTTGTTATTATTTTTTTATAAGGCTAAAATATTACTAATATAGGTAGCACAGATAAGCAAAATAATTTGTAATTTTTGTTATCCTTCCCTAAGCGAAGTTTCTTGTGTGAAACAGTTTAACCAAAGTACTATGATAATTGATAACGAGCGTTTTATGAGGAAAAAATAGCAAGTTCTTTGTGCCGGTTAATTAGTCATTTGTATTTCTTAACATGTAAATACTTTGTCGTAAGAATACCTATCATTTAGTCCACGTGATATGAATATGTATCAGTTTTGATATCGAGCTTGACCGCGACCCGCCTGCTTATTGACCAGAGATAATAAATATACATACTTATTATATTATTGAAGTGTTATATTTCCAATATATACAAAGAGAACTTAATTTTTAATATATTGGAACAAAGGAAATGTGCTCATAATAACTGTTCAAGGAAAACATTTGGTTACAGACCTACTTACGTGGAATACAAAATGATTTAATTTAAAATATAATTGAATACTATTTACAAAAACATACAAATTAAACTGTTGGGTAGAACTAAATAATCATGGGTATTGGACACACTATATTTAAATTAAGCACATGTTTTTTTTTTGAATATAAGCATGTTTATACACCTTTAACCTTTCATAACCTGTTTCTGTACATAATGAAATATAGCTTCCATTTGTTGTCAAACCGGAATGAAAAAATCTACGCCTTGCTTTAACAAAGATGATATATGACAGATGTGCCAAACTTAACGATTCTTGTTTAAGTCTATTATAGTAACATTTTAAACTTTTTTTTTAGTAAGTGGAAGAAATCCATATAAATGGAATGGAAATGATATACCTTACACAAAGAATAAAGACGTAAATATACAAAAGCCGGTGAATGAGATATATCCTTCCGCCGTTCTGTTCGGGAGGACTTGTGGAGGCACCATCATCAGTCCTAAATGGATTCTCACTGCGGGTCATTGGTAAGTAACATTGTTGTTTTGTTTTAATGAATCACGTGTCTTTTTTGACCTACTGACCGCTTAGGTGTAACGCGTGATTTGTTTGATTGGAGGTGTTTAACCTCTCAATAAATAATAGCGTAATTACTAACAATATAAAATTAGTTTTAAGCCTGTTACATATCAAAGCATTTACGTATGCACGGGGATATAATCTTTTATAAAATCTTAGAGAGAATGAATATTTATTTATATATTAACTAGTTTTCGCCCAGTGGTCGAAATTTGACAATAATTGTTACTGAAAATTTGGGGAAAACATATAAGAATAAAATTTACCTATTTATATAAAAAACGAATTGTTTCCAAAAAAATCATTAATAGGAAAGAAAAAAGTGCTGAACTGTTTTATCTTTGCTTATTATATTTATTTTATTATTATATTATAGAATGCCTAAAAATTCAATTTTAATCCGCAGCTTAATAATGTAATTTTACGATGAATTATTTTTACCGCTTACAGTATTTGGAACGGAAGTGAAAAATATATTATGATAGGAATAATAATGCTACAGTATACTTCAAATACTTAATCTTTGGTTGTTTTGTTCGTATTATAAATACTGTGGCTTGCGACTTACATTAGTTCTAAACATGTTTTGTACGTCATAGGTTCTGATAAATGACAGGGTTTTCCCTGTTTACCCGAGCCAATTAATTCGATAGCGAATAATAACTACTTTATAATTACTTTAATCATAAACCTTGGTACACGTTCTCAACGTGTTGTGAGCTTTTATCGGATATGATTTTAATATAAATAAATAAATATAAATATATTGGGACACAACACCATATAGTTCCATGGTAGGCTTGTGTTATGTATACCAGATAGTTGATACACTACACATATATAACTTTAAATACATACATATTATAAATATAAACACCCATGACTGGAGTACAAACTTTCGTGCTCGTCACACTAATCGTCCCCAGCGGGACTCGAACCCGCGACCACTGGCACAGCATATACGGTCACTATAAATTGAGCCAAACATGTCATCAATTATCAATTTACAATTCAAAATATTCCGCTATAGGTATATCTTATAAAAACGTATACTTTTTGTGAACTATATACATATACCCAAATATTTTTGTATAAGCGGATAAGATCAAATGAAACATAAAACGGACAGGTAGAGTAGGAAGAAACTATTGTAAAGGCTAATATTTCGAGTCACAGTCCACTAGTTATTACAGTCTCATTGACCAAGTCGATTGATGCGTGCAATAAATGAAATGTGCTGCCAAGCGTAACCCGAATATTACCTGAGGTTCGATGACCAATGGCCAGACAAAAGTCTCTATAGACCATAGACCTCTATTATGAAGTTATTAAAGTTGAGCTATTTCACTAAAATGCAAAGTTAGACTTAATTATGATTTATAGATTTTTGAAAGCATTGTAACAGAAGACTGTCAAATACAAGTAGATGGGTCCTAAAAAGTCTCGGGAACCTTTTGTATAATAGTTAAAAAATTTAACAAAAATAACACACACACACATGCTTACACAGAAATGCTGACGAAATAACCGCGTAAACAAAAAAACATGTCCTAATAATGTACTCGTAATTTACTTAATCGTAAAGATAATTAATACTAATCACTTACATAGTATCAAAACCATACAAAAATGACAAATTAATGTCTCTACCATTAATCATTGTGATTATTTCAAATATTTATAGAACAAGTTATTAAAAATAAATATTAATAAGTAAACAGATAAAGGAAGAAAATAATAGAAAATGTTAATAGAACGATACCCACTAAAATTTTCGTTTCCTAATCGTGATCGCTTTACTCATGTATCACGATAAAATAAAGTACACGTATCGTATGTTGTATAATACACATTACATACAACACATACAAACAGACAACAGATATTTAAGAGATACAATACACGTCCACGTATGTTTGATACTCTTAATACGTACGGTACGGTATGGTACGTATAATATATACGGAGATAAAGGTTTCTTAGGAAATGATCACGAAATTCTGAGTCAAGTACAACCTTCACAAAACTGTGAACAATCATCTTTTTCTTATGAATCATCTGGGTTTACCTGCACAGGTGTAAGACATTTAAATATCAATTTACAGCATTTCAATTGCCTGGTGCTAACATGCTCAAGGTCTACTACTTCTATTTATACCTACATAAAATATCCTTAGATACAATATCGATGCAAATTTATAAATTTATATTTTATAATAAAAGTGTGATGCAATTAAAATGATATGCATTTCAATATAAATCCGTGGAAATTGTAGAAAATGGAAATTTCTTTTTTAATACATTTCGCACTTTATTTCTATTATTTTAATTTATTTTGAACCTGATCGTGTGTTTCACGTTGACTAACATGATGATTTACTTTGTTTTATAGCACGCTATTCACCGGCGGTCGAGATATCCTCGCCGGGACGAATAACACTGAGAATGATACCGGCGTGAGGCGAAAAGTGAAGCGTCTTGTCATACATCCTCGTTTCTCAGTAGGACCGTACTGGCTTGATGCACAGCAATTTAATTTGAAGCAGGTATATATAGTTTTTTTTTTCCTTATTACACGGTTCGTCCAACAAAAATCATTCTCGTTTATCGATAACCTTTACAACACGCACTGTGGAGAAACCCTGTTTTTATGTACATATATCTCCAGTTCTTTATAGTTAATTAATCATATACCTAAATATACATATAAGATAACTTCACGCTGTTATCCTTGCGGGTTTCAAAAAAATATAAATATAAAAAAATAATTGTTTGGATTTATTATATCTTTATTGATGACCTCACCATAAGTTTTAGATAGATAAACAGAATATACAACTGCGTAGCATATTTTTAAATCAATATAAATTGTTGAAACATGTGATAAAAGGTCAATCCGAGGTCTTCGTGTATCGCTTTGTTGATATAACCTCTTTGTTGATTAGGTTGGAGCAAGATATGATTTTCTCCTTGCGGAGTTAGAAGAACCTCTTCCTCTGGACGGCAAGACTATGGTAGCAGCGCAATTGGATTCGCGCGCAAGAATTCCTGTAGGAGAAGCAGCCGGCTATGCTGGCTTTGGCGCTGAAAGACACGGGGTTCGTATTTTTAAATATCTCTTGGTGCATATATTGCGAAGCTACGAAATCTACTTCGCGATAGATTATGGAAGTCTGTTTGTGTGCCGAACATAATATTTTCTAATTCATCTACATAACACTTTTAAGATAAAAGAAAGAAAGTTACAAGCTTTCTATACATTAAGGTTTAATGGACTAATTCCCGTAAATTTGCTTTTTTTAAGAATTGTTAAAAGATTAAAAAATCCCTCTCCAGACTAGCTTCAATCCCGGCGTCTAATCTCACTGAATGCCCATTGGGCTCTATATCTAGAAAAACTTCAAGACCTCTAGACTCTTACATGCCCTAAATCTTAAACTCGTAAATAATTAATCAATTCTAAATTAATTTTTGCAGGAAACTATGCGCGAGGATATGCATGGCATGGATCTCGAGGTTCTTGATGATAACGAGTGCTCTTCCCTGGAACAGTTCAATGCTGAAGACATGATATGTACAAAAGGACGTCCACCTCGCTACGACTCTGCGTGTAACGTAAGTTCAAATTGTGTACTACAAAATTATTTTAATTAGCTACTTTCACAAAATTATTTAATAATAGATAAATATTTTAATTAATATTTCTCATAATTATTTAGGGCGACAGTGGCAGTGGGCTCATAAGTAACGGCAGAATTCTCGGAGTCGCATCTTGGGTAGAAGACGACGCCACCGTTTGTAGAAACGGTGCAAGAGTTGTATTTTCTAGAGTGGCAAGCGCGAGAAAATGGATACAAGACGTGACTGGAATATGAGCTTATGATAAAACATGAATTATATTAATGAATTAGACTTATTTATATTAGGTACATGTTACAAATGTTGGAAAGATGTAGGTATAATGTATATTTTGAACCTGACATATTATGAAAAGCGTAAAATATGAAAAAGCAAAATAATAAACTTGTCAGAACTACGACTATAGAGGTTAAACAATAATGAATTAACAATAATATATTATGCTGGATGTTAAACTATGACTTAAATTGTACAAATTTATTACCTCTCGTTGAGGGTATAACCTGTGGATGATGAATTTTCATTTTGTTAAAAAATACCATTTTATGTACAATGTTATGCATTACTTCCCCATATTCATACTAGTCATATTTGCATGTTTTCATAAGTAAATGCTAATATGTACGTACAGTAGTCCAATTATTTATATGTAGATCTATACGTACCAACATATATTACTTGTATAAAGAACAGAAACAATCAAAACTTTTTCATACATTCCTTTAATATAAATTTAATACTGTGGTTATAAGACCACTGTATGTATAACATCAAGCCTTGATATTTGTTACTTAATTTCTAATTTTACTGAAATATTTTAATGTTTTTCTTGACTATTACTTAAATAAGGCTTTTGAGAATATAATGTGTAACATAGTGTAAATAGCATTAAAACTAGGTATCCTTTTTTTTATTTGTTATTTTCACATCTTAAATTTTATCTTCTGAAATAATTTCTCATTATCACTTCGCTACTATATTTTGAAAGGATATTACTGGCGCAAAAATAAACAAAACAATGCTTTTGTTTATTTTTGTGCCAGTAAAACAAATACATGTACATAATATTAATATCGTAGAAGAAGGAGGATTGTATAAAACGGTTTTCAGGGTAGATTCTTTGTTTTATTGGCAATATTTGTTATAGAAAACTATTTTTTTAAGTTTAAAAAAAATATTTGTAATATACTATGTACATAAAGAGCCCTGTGTTTTTTTTTTTGGTATACCTGTATGCCTATAGATATATTTTAGTGTTATGCTAAATAAAAGTGTACCACCGCCATCTATAGCAAAATTATAGTCAATTACTTCCAAGGCAGTGATAGCCCAGTGGTGATGTGCTCGCTTGGGAAACCGAGTTGAGCGGGTTATAATCCAGATCTCGCACGTCTAATATTTTCATGTGCGAATCATTTCCAACATGATTACCACTTGTCTTACGGTGAAGGAAGACGTCTTGAGCAAACTTGGACGTCTGACGGAACCTAAGAAGTTTTCGAAAGACATGTGAACAGTTCACCAAACCGCACTTGGTGGACTATGGCCTGATGGGGATGGGGATCGTTTTGCAGGGAGGCCCGTGCCCAGCAGTGGGACGTTAAAAAAAAGGCTGAATACATACATAATTACAAGTAAGCAATAAACGGGGTATCATTCTGCATCCATATAATTTACTTGCAATGTATTACTTTGTATAAATTGTTTTCTAGTAGTCTTGAAAAAAAAACTATTTTATTACTTACTCCATCACCGGGATTCAAGCTATATTTTCTGGAAACCGTATAATACCTCGAATATTTAACACAATGTAAGTACACGTATGACAAATACGTAATGTGCATTGTGCATATCGAAGCATTTATTTTAGACTTCTGACTCACATTTCCTACCAACATTCATATATACATAGGTTCTAAAAGCGAACAATGCAGACGCAAATAAAAAGGTACAAGAGAAACATGTTAAGGTTAGAAATATTATTCATTTCAAGAAAAATAATGATTATCTACTGGTATAAATTTTTGCTATGCAGTAGGTATGTTTGTTATATATATATATCCACATCAAAACAAAAGTACCGGCGCATACACTCATTTGGCCCGTCTTTGATTCTCTTTGTATATGTAGGTAGGTCCTTATATCCTTTTATACCTACTTTCATAATAATTTAAAGTCAGAAGAGCTATCCAAGTTAAATTCCTAATATAAATATCAGTACCTGGACGAGCGAGCTTCGCTCGGAGTTTTTGGCCTAAAGTACAATTTTCTTTTTAATTTGACTTAAAAATAGAAAAAACTAAAAACCTAAATAAATTTATCCACGATTTTTTTGTACATTGTTTTGATGTATCTCTTAAATTTTGGCTAACGCTCAGCCATGTAAATGTGTAAGGACGACACGATAGGACCAGTTATTGTGTTTTCCCGTGGGAATCAAAAATTTGCTTCTAGTAAAAGGTATCCTAAATGTTGACCCAAGTAATAAGTTATCACTTCACAAAATTCTAGTTAAGCTTAGTCGAAGCCATCGAGCGCTCCACACCATGGATGACAAATAAAGGTCTACACAGGTGCCAGACGGGCAGGAAAAGTATGACAACGAATATATTTGACGTTTGGGCGAGACGTATAATTTTCTCTTGTGCATGTATAAATTTTATTAAATATTGACAATATAACGATAAATACAGGAATAGCGTTTTATTGTTTTACATTATGTTTTAAACAATTAGGATCGGAGAGATACTAAAAAAATTCACTTCCGGCCGACCCAGCATAACCGTTTCCGTTACAAAAATCTTAACGAAAATCCTTTTTTCCCCTCATGGCGCGCCTAAAGAAGTTTCTTTTCAAAAATATAAAAAAAAATACTCTCAATCACGATCTTATAATTGCACAATCAATTTATTTATAAAGATTACACTAATGTAGCTTTAAAACTGCAATTACACAACACTTGCTTATTTTAAACGAGATTTTTAATTCTGACAAAATTATTATAATGGTAAGAATCCGCTATGGTACAGAAGTTAGTTCATCAAGCTGTACTTGTGCAATGTTTAGCATAAAATCTGTTTCTCACTATATATTTTTTTAAATCCAAATAACTTTGCAACTACTAACAATCGCTGAACACACATGAGGGTTAAATCGATACCAGCCTTGATCCATCATCTACGTTACACACTGCAACAAATTTTAATTCGCGAAAAAAATTCTGGAATAATGGCAATTAATAAGTATTGTTGCAATTGTAATGGCGGCCGATGAATGGCAGGATCTCATATTATAACAGTTGTTTAGTATCTTGATTGGGCCTGCATCCGACCAGTATATTTTTCCTCCTCCTTAGTTCCTGGATGAGCTCCTAATTTTAAGATACAACCAATAATAAATAAGAAAAAAATAGATTTTGATATCCTTTAAAAAATACTACACAGGTATTTATTTATCTACTAAAATGATTGCAAAATACTATTTCATTAAAAAGTATTAAATTAAAGACAATACTGTATCCCAATATTTTTTTAACGAATTCCTTGTCCACTTTAATGCATTTTATTACTTCCATGCATTTTTTATGCGTACACCACAGATCATATAATACTATACTTAGCGTACACACAGGACCGGAGTTAATAAACTAACGCTCTAACTCTCTTACACTTTAATCTACACTTTAATCAGGTACAGAAAAAAATTAGCTTCAATTTGATATATAAATGATGAACATACGCGATGAACGTATAAACTTCCGAAAATATGACCCGCTTACACCTGGCTGCGAAGAGGTTGCAGCCAAAAGCGCAACGGCAGCTATCATTTTTCAAGATCTCTACGTATAGTTCTGTAAAGTGGAGTATAAATTATTGTAATAACAAATGCATCGTTTTTGTTCCAAAAAGTCGACTATTATTTAGTTAATTAAACATATGGCAAACTACATGGCAAAGATAGATTGAAGTGAAAGAGAGTTAGCGCGTTAGTTATCTGTTTGTTGCCATGGTAACCGTTGTTATTGTCTGACAAATGACATATAATATTATATTCTTTCCTTCTTTTCTTTCTATTGCGGCCACTTTTACATAGATAGAGGTATTTTATCATGCACAGAAAAAAATTAGCTTTAATTTGATATATAAATGATGAATATACGCCATGAACGTATAAATGTAACATAAACACTTTTAATGACTCGCAACCACTTTAGCGGCCACTTTTACATAGGCAGACGTAGTTTATCAGGTACAGAAAAAATTAGCTTTAATTTGATATATACATGATGCATGCACGCTATGAACGCATAAACATACCAAAATATGACCCGTTTATACCTGGCTGCGAAGAGGTTGCGGCCAAATACGCAACGGCAGCTATCATTTTCAACCGACTTCAAAAAGGAGGAGGTTCTCAATTCGACTGTAAGTTTTTTTTTTTTTTTTTTTTTTTTTTATGTTTGTTACCTCAGAACTCCGTCATTTATTAACCGATTTGGATAATTTTTGTTTTGTTTGAAAGGGTATACTTCCAGATTGGTCCCATTTAAATTTCAAAAAAAAATACCACCCCTAAGGGTGGAAAAACAACTAATGATGAATTTAACCTACTTCTAATTGTCATATTGACTTGAAACTTTGCAAGTATTTCTATTTCCGTTGATAGTACAGTGGTTCGGTGTTGTTTAACTGATCTGATGGCAAGGCCAGAAGGTGGATAGGTGGAACTCTTCAACGGCTAATAGTAGATACTTTGAGTTTGGGCTTATTTTGTTTGATTTGACAAGCCTAACACGTTAGAATTTTTACTTTGCTACTACTGTCTACACTAACAAGGGAAAAATAAAAACTTTTTAAACAAAAAAATAAAAACCGACTTCAAACAAAAGCACTAAAAAGTAAAAAATAACTGATTGGTAGTTTTCATTTACTATACATACCTAATCAAATATTTTCGAAGTCGGTGTGCTTTGGCTAAGTAATTAAAGCCTACCTATTAAATACATACGTAATCAAATATTTTCGAAATCGGTGCCAGCCCATACAAAGCAAAGCACACCGACTTCGAAAATATTTGATTAGGTATGTATAGTAAATGAAAACTACCAATCAGTTATTTTTTACTTTTTAGTGCTTTTGTTTGAAGTCGGTTTTTATTTTTTTGTTAAAAAGTTTTTATTCAAGATCTCTACGTATAGTTCTGTGAAGTGGAGTATAATTCATTGTAATAACAA